ATCTAAAATGGAATCTTGAAATGAGTTGGCACTTTGTATACACATGGAATAGAGCATGTTGTAAAACCCACAGTGTTAAAAGATTTATATGACTAATTCTAAATCTCTCTCTCCATGGTGTATACTTCAATGGTACAAATTTACATGAAAGCTGTCATGAGATATTCTGGGCCATGAGGCAATTACAGATGACAGCTGATATTTATAAGGCCAATCCACTGAAATCAACGAATCTGATGGAAGAAATTCATAGGCAAGGCCTATGAAAATATTGCCTACAAATACATACTGTTCCTGCCTATAAATTCACAAGTGCAAAGACAACCATGGTGTCTCCCCAATACCTACACTGTATTGTGTTATCTCATATGATGTGTGGCTCTTGTCTACCTGCATGGAATACTTTGTGACTCTGAGAAAAGAGCATTGTAACCTTTCTAGTGCTAAAGTACTGCTGTTGTACATGTTTAAAAACTGTAGACTTTAAAAACATATGAAAAAGACATGAAAACATGATCAGTGATGTAAATCAGGGAGGAATAGCATCACTCACATGCAAAGTCTAGTAAAATTGTACTTACACAGAAAGTCTTTTCTTACCTACAATAAGAATATTCTGATATTATTCTCAGTGGAATTCTTCAGAAACATTTTGAACCAAACAGTCTTGAAAAACCAATTTCATGTCCTGTTTCTACTTGATCCTCTCTCTCCCTACCCCTTCCGCAATCCCTCCGGCATACTTCCTTTGGTACTCTCCCTTCATCATCCGGGGCTCTGTCTTATGCTTCAACGGTGATTACGACTGACTGAGCATTGTGAGACCCTGCATAGGACAAAAGAGTCTTCAGAAAGCACCTGAAACTTTTCATGGACCAGAAATAGAATATGCACAACAGCCACTGGTGATGCCAAGCATCCTGAAGGCGCTGCTTGTGGCACTATCAATATCTAATTGGAAGAAGACCTTTCTTTATCATCTATATAACCGACCAATTAGAAAGTCTTTATATGAGCTGTTATTGCCTCTATTTATTTCTTTATTATATGTAGTGTTCTGTCTGCATTTATGTCTGCAAGCCAGAAGAGGGCACCAGATCTCATTACAGATGTGACCCACCATGTGATTGCTGGGAGCCTCTATTTAACTAATTAAAACTAAAGAGAAAATAAACAGTAAATTTTTAAAAAGGAAAAAAAATTAGCAGAATAGAGTCCTATAAAATGGAAACTTGAATTCACTGAAGGAATTAAGACCACTTGAAGACAGAAAACCTTGTATGCCCTTTGAATAAGACATATTATTGTGAAAATTGCAGTGTCAAAAGATGTATGTGGTTAACTCAAAATCCATGACAATCATTCTATCCATGATAAACTTCAAAGATACGGTAAAGAGGGTCCTGCAAACTTACAAGGAAGCAGTAAGACTGTGTGAGTGCACAGCAAGCCCAGGCACACAGAACAGAGCTTGATTCGCCCCACTGTGATTTCTCACAACAGTGCAGACACACACAAACAACAGCACCATGGCAGTGACAGAAGAAAAGACACCCAAAGCTGTAAGAGTAGCAGATACAGTGATATAAATGAGCCTACAAATTATCAGGACACAAAGCAAGAACCCACAAACAAGACTGCATGCAATTAAAAACTTACATGGAAATGACTAATAATTTAAAAAAAAAAAAAAAAGGAAGAAACCGCCTACACAATGAATTCTTCATTGGCAAACTTTTCACAGTACAATACCAAAACATCCAGAATTTATCAAAGATGAAAAAAAAGAAAAAAATCACAAACCAAATAATAAGGTAGTCAATAATAAGCAAGTGAAATAAATAGACCATGCTCAAAAGCAGTTGAAATGACCAAAATGTACACACTATATGCTCCACATATTTAGTGATGAGGATTTCACTGTATTCTCTGGGATGTGAGACTCATTTACACACAGCTCACACACATGCAGAGTAGTTTTCCCAGGAACCCTGGAGAGGAGAAAGCCAGACTGCAAGAAAACTATTCCCACCCTCAGAATCCACACTGCTACAGTTCTTCCACAAGGATCTGTACAAAAAAAGTTCTGTGTGCAAGATCCAGGCATTCCCCACTCCTCCGGCAGGAAGTCTACTTAATGTCAAAAAAAAAAAAAAAAAACCCTGAAAAAAATACAACTGTTTGGACAGGTGTGCATGGACAGAGCGCTTTTCTTCAACCACAGAAACATTTTTTTCTGATACAGGTGAGTGGTCATAATTATTCACATGACCTCTGAAATTTTGTTTCATGCTAGCTATAAAATATATTCTCACAGCATGCATACTGCACTTGCCTGGACCTAAGATGTAGCAATCACACAGCATAAGAAGACACATTTATGAAAGCTGTATTTACATCCTAGACTGCAAATTAATAGGCAACAAAAACTTTGCTTAGTAAATGTTATGTTTCCAGCCATAACTGGAGCGCTGATAGAGAATATTTTCTGATTCAATCAAATCTGCACTGGTTCCCCGTGTGGTTACTATCTACAAACCCCTGTGGGAATGCCTGCTCCTCAGGGCGAAAGGGGCAAGTGGTGAAACCGGAGTTAGAAAGCGTGATCTGGAACTGCCATAATAGCAAAGAAATCCTTGTTTGCAAACAGCAGACAATGCAAATGCTCTAGTGGGCTACTTTATGAATTATTTTATGACAGAATTCTGGGAATAGTAAGATGGGTGGGGGAAAAAAATCACGGTACAACTCGGTTCATAAGATCTCAGACTTACTGACAACGCAAAGATATCCACGACAGAATTTTGTCCTTCTGAGCAGCCTGAGCGAGCACAGCCCGGGTCCCCTCCCTCCTGGGTCCCAGCCCCGCAGATCCTCTCACCTGGGAGGTTCCAGGGCCGCCGGGCTGCGGTTCCCGCCACTGCGCTGCTGACTGTGACTTTCCCAGGCCGCCCCGCGCGGAGACTGCGGCTCCGGAGTTTTCAGGTCCCCGAACCCGGCCGGTTCTTCCTTGATGGTTCCGGACTCGGGGCTCCCCGAGTCCAACATTGAAAGGAAGAATTTCCTGTCATTTCAGCAAGGTTCCTTGGAGATGGCTTCTTCCGGAGCCGCCCACTGCATTCTGCTTCCGGTGACATGTCCTCTACACCAGCCTACCACGAGCTTCTCTTTTTTCTTTAGTTTCCCAAGTCCCTGCTGCAGATTTGTTGTTGTTGTTGTTGTTTTTCCTACTACACTCCTCTGATTGACAGGTGTCTACAATCCCTCGCCCCTCCCACACAGCTGCAGCTGTCAGGCTGCCCTGGACCCGCTCTGCACAGACTCCACACGCTTGCTGCCAGCCTAGACCAGAGCTGCATCCAGGAGGACGCTGCACCCCGGTATCTGATCCCCCACCCTGGGTTCTGAAATCTTGGGATATTAATTATCCTGTGTCGCGAGCAAGAAGGCAGATGCATGTAGTTAATACAACAAAATTTACTTAATTATGCTGAAGGTCTTCTTCACACTAGGTTCACACTCAAGGCTGCTCTGCTCACCTGTGGGACATCTCTTAGCTGAAGGTCAGGTCCAGTCTCTAACACAAGTCTCTGATTCGAGGGTGGTGGTGGCTCTTGCCTTTAATCCTAGCACTAGGGAGGCAGAGACAGGTGGATCTCTGTGAGTTCGAAGCCATCCCAATATACAGAGCAAGTTCCAGGACAGGCTTTAAAGTTGCAGAGAAACCCTGTCTCAAAAAACCAAACCAAACAAACATAAAAACAGCAAAACACAACAAACACCGTAAGTTGTGAGGCTCAAGGCCCACTTGCAAAATAAATTAAAGCTAAAATAAAAATGGCCTTGGCTCAAAGCACAAACCATATTACTATCCCCAAGTTAAATGATAGTCAATATACTGATCTCAAAAAGCAGAGTCATGTTCAAGATGGTCAAACATGTAACACATGTATCAGGGGTTGAAGATAAGGTAGAGTTGCTGGATGGCTCGTTCAAACAAAATAATGAATTAAAATTAAAATAATGCTCCGTACAAGTAGCACCAGTTAAAGGTAAAAGTGAAATTCCATTTGTATGTTCTACACTTATATGAAAAATTCTAAATTTGAGACACAGTAACTCACTGTGGAGAGCTTTACTGGGAAGCAGGATAATAATTTCCACCACTATGCAAATGAGGGATGCTAAGAAGCCATCTTTATCCTTCCCTTACAGACCCCACCCCGACTATTGCTACTCAAGCATCCAGAATTCCACTAATAGCAAAGTTGACTTGGAGTAAAACGTTTCAGGGACTAAGCATTTTGAAAGGAAATAGGTGTCTCAGGAAGTCAGTGGTGAATCAGCCCATTAACAGCCCAGTGCTGAAGTCAATCTGTGCTGTCAGCTGGTGCTGATGTTGTGGTCATGCTAACTCAGAAACAAGTCTGTCTTCTGGGAAACATACTGAAGGTGCTTTCATGGGAAACACAGAACATTCTATTCAAAACCTCGTTGGTGAATGTAGAAGCTGACCAACATGGAGAAAATGAGCTATGTAAACGGGCACAGCCCTAAAGAAGTCATTTGCACCATGCTTGCTGTGGCTCTAAGAATATTGAGAAAGAGGTGGTGGGAAGGAAATAAAAGAAAGATAGGGAACGGCCATGACATGAGTTCTCCAGACTACTCCTAATCAGTAAACTAGAGCAACTGTACTCACCGGCACTGGGCTCACTCAAGACCAGGCCTAGCCACAATCACTCTAGGAAGTGGAGAGGCTCACCGGGCCCCACCCTTTACCTCTCCACTGTGACTTTAGGAGAACGGACATCACTGTCTCTAGTTGTGTCTTTTGTGATGAAGGTAACAGCTCCAACACGTAGCTCCAAAACCATATCCTCACAGATGGTCCTGGTTAATCTTGGTAGATCAAAAAACCAAAATGAATAGAAATGAACATGAGAGAGTTATGGAATGAGGGAGAGATTGGGGAGAGACTGGGGGAGACAGAGAGAAGGATGGATGTGTATGGGCCGCAAGTGCGGGGAGCAAGGGATCGATCAAGGTGTGCATTAATCAAGGTCTATCATATGAAATGGCAAACAGATAATAATAAAAGTTAAAATTTCTCATTTTGCCTCTCTATCTGCTTTGATATCAGGTAATGTAAACGTCATAAAGAATCTGGAAGTCTTGTCTTCATTTTACATCAAGGAATACTTTAAGTAGTTTCTCTGAAATTCTGACATAATTCTGTGGCAAATCAATCTACTTCTAGGCTTCTTTTTAAAATCAAGGTTCATTTATCCCTGCTTCATTTTTGCTGCAGCTTCTAAATCTCTTGAATTTGTCCATGTTGGTGCAATTTTGGTGTATGGTATGAATTGAGAGATTTCATCATTTCTTTTTAGAATCCCTAATTCAAGTCTTTAGTGTCTTTAGTGTCAATAGGGATCACACATGCTTGTACACTTGTGTCTCCTGATTAAGCCAGGCAGTTAGCTTGTGTATCTCTCAAGTCATGCTGACCAAAAGTCATGTATACACAGCTATCAAAGAGATGAAGACCAACTCTCTTTTAAGATTCGGTCTCTCCCAACAGTCAGAATGGCCTTCACCAGTACTTATAATGAATTCTGACAGGGATGTGAGGAAAGGAACAATGTTGTACACTGCTTGTGGAAAAGGACTCTATACTTTCCCCAAAAACACTAGGAATAGAAACTATCAGACATACTGTACTGTTTAGCCATTTAACCACAGATGTTGTTCTGATTGTTGCCTACAGTTCTCTGTGTACATCCATGCCCATCTGCATAGTCTGAGGAAACCAGACTCCAGAATTTCCCAAGCCACTTCGGAGATTGTAGCTAAGAAATAGATTTGTCCTGATTATAATGAGAACCAGGTTTCTCTGGTGTGTTCTGAGTTTTAAGCTGTGCTGTGATGATCATGACAGGTTAAGAGGCATCCTAGCTCTGCAGGGAGGTGAGCACACAGAAATACAAATACAGAGCTAGGGGTCTGTCCTTAAAACACAGGCTTCTGATCCCACGGGCCCCTTCCAGATGACAGGACTGCTTGTTTTACCTTGTAGTAAGTTCTATTGTTTCTCTTCGTATGGAAAAAGAATGATGTCTCCAGCTAATTGTGCACGTTAGTGATTAACTCCATGCCACATATAATGCATCCTATTTGAGTCAAGGAAAGAAATGAAAGCATTTCTTTCCTTGGAATCATTTAACAAAGAGAAAGTCCAGATTTGAATTCTCTACTTGAAGCTCCCTGTCCATTCTATCCCCTGGTTCTCTGTTTCATGAGTTTGGATCTGTGTCTGCTTGAAGGCTATCTTGTGAATCTGTCCCTGTATGTTTGCTTGCTGTCTGTTTCTTTCTGTGTGTTTGTTTGTCTGTGTACTCTGTATGTGTCTGTCTATCCATAACAAAGTGTTTTTCTCTGTCTGTATTGAATAGCATACAAAGCATCATGTGGGGTAGGTATGAGAAATGCTTAACAGACATTAAACCCCAAGGAACTGGAATTATGGATGGCTACAAGGCAACACATGAGTGCTATGAACTGACTTCCAGTCCTCTGCAAGAGCAGTAAGTGTTCTTTGTTGCTGAGCTGTCTCTCCATCCCTCAGGTAACATTTTCAAAACAGGAGTTTTAAAGTTTTGCATATGACATTGGGAGGAGGGGGGACACGACATTTCACTGATCTTGAATGTATTTACTGGTGAGGCATCCATGTTTCCCTGTTGCTCTCCTCTTGAGATTGTGTCTCAGAAACAATGACTGGACCTCTTCTTGCCTTTTCAAATGAAAGTGTCTTGGTGGTTCTGCATCACTTCAGTCTTGAAGATTTAGTCTTTGTCACTTCAGGTCTTAAGGACTGTGAATGAGGATAGCAGCAATAAAGAAGATGGGTGGCCACAATTATGTAAGGTAACAGACAATCCAACAGAAAAGGAAGAATACTGACCAATGGTAAAAATGCACCATTTGCTACAAGGCTATATTGTTCATTTTACTCAACGGTTTCCAAACACATGACACAATCACTAGGTAGAAAGTAAACAGAAATGCTGGGGAACTTCGACATCTAACACGTAGTTACAGATAATGAAATCATACAGGTGTTGCTGTGTGGAAGACAGCATGAGACAGGGGGAGGGACGGGTCCCCGACGGGGCGGAGACATAGCATGCTAAGAGGGGTGTAGGGGAAAAGGATCTGTGCGGTAGGTGGGACCCTGGAAGCGGGAAACCGGAAGCGGGGTGTAGTGGGCGGGGCCAGGAGGAGCTGCTCCAAGGAGCCAGGTTGAAGGGAGCGAAGGGAGGAAAGTGAAACATTCCCTGTTCTTTTCCGGGAGCAGCGCGCTGCAGACCTGGGTGCCGCGGGGACCTGAAAACTCCGGAGCCGCAGTCTCCGCGCGGGGCGGCCTGGGAAAGTCACAGTCAGCAGCGCAGTGGCGGGAACCGCAGCCCGGCGGCCCTGGAACCTCCCAGGTGAGAGGAGCTGCGGGGCTGGGACCCAGGAGGGAGGGGACCGGGCTGTGCTCGCTCAGGCTGCTCAGAAGACACCGTCAGCTCCGGGCCGCCCGTGGCGGTGCCGGAGGCGGCGGCTCAGGTCATCACCTGCAGCCAGGTGCTGTCATTTCCATCACCACAAGCTGGGTGCTTCCCTGCGCCCCAGGCGCAGCCCTTAAAAGTGTTGTCTGTCACAGTTCTCTGTCTTGTTCCTGATTTGCTCCTTTACCTGGAATTTTTCATGAAAGATGATAACACCTGCCAAAAGGTCTTCCTGCCTAGGCAGGTATTGCAGACAAAGGTTAACTTCTAACTATTGCCAGTACGGGACCCTCTGCGTTGTACTGCCTTAAATTTCAACTGTTCTAGTGACTCTCCTCTCTGCCTTGCATTGTTTCAGGAACAGAAAAAAAAAAGTATCATGAATATTTCAAAAAAAATTGTTGGTACTACAAATATTATGTTAAGCCAAATTGAATAGACTCAAACAAAAAAACAAAACAAAACACAAATGCTTATATTGCCTGCCAGGTGTAGATCCTAACTCTAATGAAAACCTCTGTGAATGCTAACATAAAATAGTTTTAAAAAAAATTATCTAGACAAGACTAAGAAAGGAGTGTTCATCCACAAACAATAGTTTGTTCTCAGAGCTTATTAATACATAGGCAACCTTGGACACCATTTTGTTCCAAGCCAGATTTCCACCCACAACCAGACAAAGAAATTACTTCTGACTGGAATACTATTGTCACAACAGATGGGAAAGAGAATTCTTGGAAGTCACATACTTACTCTAAAGGTCACAAGAACACCCCACATATGCACAGCTAATCACAAGCCCGGGTGTGTGGCCCAAGATCAGAGGCAAATATTTATGAAAGTGAAGACTTTATAAAATTCTTAAGTGTCTATGAATAATCAATAATTGTAAACAAAACTGTTTTCTGGATTAACAGAGTAACAGTGTATATTTAATCTGTACATACAATAGAAAAAAAAAACATCAAAATTTGTAAAGTGAGTAGGTCATATATACCAGTATTTATATTATATTTTAATTCTTGTTATACTTCATATTTAATGAAAAAACAATATATTATGATCTGTGTTAGAAGCCTTCTGTTTTATTATTATGTCTTCTTGTCATCCCTTACAAATGTCAACTTGACAAATGTAACCTCTTAAAAAAAAAAAGTGGCACGGAACTTTTTGGATATGTGTTTGCTGATTTATACTATCACTATGTTTACTTTTATTTATGTGTAACATTAGCACTGTTTAAATTAAACACAATTTTCTTGGTGGAAAAAAAAAAGTGGTTGTATCATCAGCCACAGGCTTTTGCAGGTATCTTAGGTTAACATCCTAATACCATATAACCAAAAGTTGTAAAACTTAAAATGTAATGTGACATTAAGCCTGATCTCAAGGTTGTAAACGCTTGTTGACCCACACCTGGTGCCTGATTTTACTATAAGAGGAGGCCCAAACCCAGCTCCTGTTGTTACAATTTCAGAAGCCCAAACTGGCCATGGTCCCAGTTACTGGTAAGCTTTCTGAGCCTTGCAGTGATTTTTTTTCTTTTCCTTTTCTTTTCTTTCTTTCTTTCCTTCCTCTTTCTTTCTTCCTTTCTTTTTTTTTTTTTGGAAGAAAGTTCTTTTCTGATTTCATAGACTTTGGTGATCCCCCCATTATTTGCATGCCCTTGAACTCAACAATTTACTCCCCATTAATTGTCCGACTGAGACATAATGCAGTCTAGGATGTGAATACAGCATTCAGAAATGTGTCTTCATATGTTCTTATGTTACACTTTGGGCCCAGGCAGGTGCAGTATGGATGCTGTAAGAGTATATCTGGCCAAACCATGTTATAGTTATCAGATACACTTTAAACAAAATTATAAAGCATTTTTTGAATATTTATGATGACTCACCTGTATCAGAAAAATGTTTCATTAGTAGAAGAAAATTATTCTACCTATGCACACCTGCCCAAACTTGGTTTTGTTTTTTTGTTTTGCTTTGTTGTTAGGGATTGTTGACATTTAGTGACTGCCTGTAGACTTCTTGTGGGAGGAGTGAGGATGCCTAGACCCTGCTCACAGGGCTTTTTGCAGAGATCTCAATTTGTGGAGCTGCAACAGTCTGGATTCTGAGGCTGAGAGTAGTTTCTTGCAGTCTTCCTTGCTTCTGCTCAGGGTTCCTGGGAAAACTGCTCTGCAAGTGTGTGAGCTGTGTGTGAATGAGTCTCACATCTCACACAGTAAAGTGAAATCCTCAGAGAAAGAGACATTTTTTTAATATTTTCTGTTTCCTTCATGTTTGTCCTTTTGGCAGGTGTTAGCATCTGTAGTTTGTGCTCCTTGAAAAGTTCCAGGTGCTTTCTGAAGAATCTCTTTCTCCTATGCAGTCTCACAAGGTCAGTGTGCTCACCTGTGAACCAGAGCACAGAGCCCTGGATGGAGAAGAGAGAAGAGACAGTAGCAAAGGATGCAGGTATGTTAGAGGGATTGAGGAAGGGGTAAAGGGATGGATAAGGGATCAAGTGACAGTATAAACAGGATCCAAAATTGGTTTTGCCACATTCTACTTCATTCTAAGTGATTCTAGAGAATTCCACTGAGAAAAATCTCAAGATTGCCCTGTTGTTGGTATGTGAAGTCTGTGTGTGTAATTAATACTCAGAGGCAGATATAATTTTGCTTGTCTTTGCATGGAAGTGATGCTTTCCCTCTTCCATTTCCATCTCTCTGTTTCATGCCACTAGTAAGTGTTTTCATTACTATAATTTTAATATGCTGTGTAGTTAGAACCATTTAAGCTTCTCGGTTGTTCTTGTACACAGAGTTTTTGGAGCATCTTGTAGTTCCTTGAGGTTCTGTTTTTTGTGAAGTTTATTCACTGTTGCATATGTTTCATAGATAACCCTCCCTATTCTGCTAACACAATCTTTGTCCTCTTGTCTGCTGTGCCCTCTGGGATTTGCATCAGGACTTACGGTTATAGCTGTGTACTCAGCAGTCACACATTCTCTGTATGTATCCAGTTAGGAGTCCCTGAGCTTTGGAAGGATTTCTCCTGAATTCATTACCACCAGAAATTAGAGTAAGATTCTAATTTCCCATTTCCTCATCTGCATTTTTGACCATTAGATCATTTTTTTGCTGTGTATAATTTTTTTGAGGAGGGTCTCGATATATAGATGTTACTTATTTGAAACACACTATGTAGGCAAGTCTAACAGCAGACTACAGAGATAGACTTATCTCTGTATCCGGAGTTGTGAAGTTAAATTGTGCCCACTAGACTTGGTTTCTGTTTATTTTTCTGATTTTTTTAATTTTTCTTTTATGTGCATGGGTGTTTTGGCATAATGTATATCTTTGCAGCACACATGTCTGGTGCCTGTGGATGTCCCATGAAGACATTAGATCTGTTGGGAAGGAAGTTACAGGTAGTTGTGAGTCAGGATATCGGTGTGGGATTCGAACCCAGGTATTCTGGAAGAGTTGTAACTGTTCTAACCCACTGCACCATCTCTTGATCCACTAATTTGTTTTCTTTGTGTTAGTCATTCTTCCTAGTGTTAAATATCAATTGTGTTCAAGTTTGTAATTCCCTCAAGTCTAAGGAGAGTGAACATGTTTATTAATGTTTGGGGAGGGAAAATCTGGAAGCCTTTTAAGCTACAAACAATGGGAAAGAATCCAAATTTTCAACATGCTCTTTATTGATGTATAGAAAACTGGTGATTTTTATGTTTTACTTCTGTATTCTTCAATATTACTAAGGCTTTTGTCAAGTATAAAGTTTTCTGATGGCATCTTCAGGTTATATATGCAATCACACCAACACTGAAAAGGTTGAGTTAAATGTTTTCCTTCCCAACTGTATCTCTTTGCTTCTTTGTCTCTTTCAAATTTTCATAGCTAGTTTTTTTTAATTATTATTATTCTTTTTACTCATGTATACATATTAGTTCTGCATGGATGTCTGTGTATACCACACATGTGCAGTGCCCACAGAGGTCAGAGAGATCATGGAATACCCTGGAAGTAGAGTTACAGACAATTTTATGAGCTGCCATTTGGTTGTTGCTCTATAACCTCGTTCCTCTGGAAGAACACCAGTGCTCCTACCAGTCCTCAGTCCATTGATTCCAACTAGGTCAAAGGTATAATGAATACAATTGGGAAGATTGTGAATCTTCGTCTTGTTATGGTGTCATGTCAGTACTGTACATTTTCTTTGTGGCTTGTAAACCTAGATTGACAAGTAGATTGTGTTGTGTTGAGATTTGTTTTATCTATTCCAACTACTACTCAGGATTTTATGATGAAGATTAGTGGATTGAATTCGGTTCTTACTGAGATTCTGTTCCTTAGGGCTTTTAACACAGAAGGTTTTGCTCTTGTTGTGGCTGGTAGATTAATTTTTATATTTCTCTCCATTGCCAGTGAGGGTTAGTGCTTTCCTGTGTTGTACATGATGGGTTGCTTCCCAGTTTTTTGCTATTCATTTTTTCCTCAAATAAAATGTACTCTCCCATGTCCTCGTGGATAACTTGTGGTTGATTCTTTCTCTCTGTACTTTTAGTTTTTTTGAGACCAGGTTTCTTTGTGGTTACCTGGCTTTCCTGGAAATACCTGTGTAGACCAGGCTGACCTCGAACTCATAGAGATCTGCCTGCCTCTGCCTCTCAAGTGTTGGTTAAAGGAGTGTGTGTGCCACCACTGCCTGGCCTCGACTATTGTTTAAATTTTATCATTGGAAATTTGGAGCTGTTTGTTATTTCAGTATCTTGGAAAGGGGTAGGGAAGTTTCCCCAAATCGTGAGCGGTAAACATAGCATCAGGCCATACAATGACCAGTTTGATCAGGCAGAATGATGATAGTATTAAATGACATCATCTCTCCCAGTGTCACTCTAAAGTACTTGAGCAATAGCAAGGGAAGAAATCATCCAAATGTCTGTTTAATGTCAAGAAAACTATTTGGTATGATATAAATATAATGTCAGTGTAATAAAGTGCTATGTATATTCTAATTCCATGGTCATGAAAATGTGTAGTAATAGTATTGTAGCATTCACAATGAGTCCTTAATTTTGATACATGCATTAATATTTGTATGTGTGTACTAATATGCAGTATTTGTATATATACCAGGAGACTCATGTTACACATCCTTACTTTCATTTGGAACTACAAAGTTGATTGCCAGAGAGGAAATCTATAATAGACAGGAACTGAGGGGTGGTACTGTAGTCATATATATTACTAATTGGGAATCTGAGAACTGTCTGGAAGAATACTAAGATATAGTTCTATTCATGTTCAGGAAGATAGGTGATAGGATTTTGAAAGACCTGGCATTATCAGTGATTAGTACCAAGAGCATATCCTGAAATGATTCACCTTATTCCTGAAAACAGTCTCTTTTCCCTGGCAGCCATCAGGTAGTTTCTGCCATGTGTCCTCCTTGATGATTCTGCTTGACATTGTCTAAGATAATGGTTCTTAGCCTGTGAGTCAAGACCTGTTGGGGGAGGTGTCAAACCTCCTTTTCTCATAGGTCACCTAAGACTATTGGAAAACGTATTTCTGATGATCTTATGAACCGAGGGATTACTTCTCTATCCATCTCCAGGCAGGTCTGCACATGCAGATACATTGACATAAGAGGTCGCAGAACTGTTTGAAAGGTTCACAGCTCTAGGAAAGTTGAGAAACACGTACTGTAGAACACAGACATTCCATTTAAAGATATATGGCCTGAATTGTACTATTCTAACTATACATGCATTCACTTGGATTTCAAAGGATAAGTATTCTCACTCAAAAGAGTGCGTGCACCTTAAAACAACAGGTCCACATTGAAAGAAGGAGTAAATTATAAAGATACATTTTACCTAAATGAGCCATATAATACAGCCTTCTTAGATGATGACAAGAATGAGTGTAACTAGTTCTGATGACAAATTCATTGTCACTTTGAGAAAAAAAAAATATGATATTTGGCAGATAGATGTGGATGTTCTCCAAGATGACATGACACACATGGTAAATACATGTGGTGTATCTACCAGGTAGAATGAAAGGAAATGTGATCAAATGGTCAGATATTGTATTCTAGTGTGATGGCTAAAAAAACTCCAACTTAGGTATCTGTCTTGGTACTCATGATCATTTGTCTGTGACTCAGTCTCTAGAAAATAAATTCCCAGTAACCTTACTCATTGACCTCTCACTCACCCTTAAAATGTGCAGACATGACTGTCTACATGTTATGGTATGACTAACTGCTTTTTTAAAAATTCTGTAACTTGATTACAAAGATACCCAAAGATGGTTTTGAGTTGCCTTAAACATAATCTTGTCAGAACAGGACAGTTTCTGCTTGCTTGCTAGAAATTGAAGGTCTTCATGTGGTTTCCCTCTGCAAAAACCTTCGTGTTGCTGTTTATTTTTACACTGTGTGAATATATGTTGCATTGATTAGTTTACAAGAAGCTGAACAGCCAATAAGTTGGCAGGAGAGGATAGGTAGATTTCCAGGTAGAGAGAGGAACTTGTAATGATTATGAGTAACATTACTTCTTACTTTTTCCCTGAATGCCCTAAAATTTTCTTCATAGAAGTGAATTCATCACAAGTGTTATTCCTAGATCTTTTGGAAACAACCTGAATGGCTTAAATTTATAAATTACATTTCAAATTGTCATTATTAATAAATAGACAAAGTAGTAATTTTGTATTAGTTTTGTACTTTTCAATAGTAGGAGGAGAACTTAGCAAATCTAAGATTTTCCTGTGGTGAATCTAGGAAGTTTTTTGCCTGATCGCGTCATCATTAAAAGGGAATTTGGTGCCTTTGCTATCTGTTCCTACTTAATTCTTTGCTCTTATTAATTTTTTTTTCTGGCTTGCTCTTAAGCCTCTAGATTTTCTCTGATTGGATAACACATGCTGCCATACTCTCCTTTTAGTTTTCCTGCTAATGCTATTCATTTTTTTTTTCCTGCACTGTACTGCTGGCTTCAATGCAACATACCTTCCTTTTACTGAGTTCAGCTGTGTTTCATTCTTCCTGTTTCCTATAAGAGTTTATCATAAAATCTCTTGAAGTTTGTCTTATGACATCTCTTTTTTATTGGCATTTTCATATCATGGGACTTTTCATGATTTGTTTTTTAAATATTTTTGTGGGAAAAGTTAGGGGTACTAATTTTATTACTTCTAGTTAGAAATGGTAGTTTGCTGATTTTGTGTGTTGAAAATAATCCTGTACTCCCCAGCTCTCCTATTCATCTATTCATTTTGTAAAATGCCTTATTTCCTGGGTTATAAATAAACTTTTCCTCTAATTATGACTGCAGTGTAGCTTGAGTGGATGGTATTTGTCATTTTATAATCTTCCTCATATACCCTTCTTTGTCCATGAATTTTAAGAGTCCATGTTTCTGGGTGTATTGATTAGGTTCATAGTCATTTTCTTCCACCACAGTAAATATTCTCTCCTCTGTAGGAACGTTGACAAGATTTCTGATATCATTTTGGTTTTTTGTGGGGGAGAGGTGGGGTTCTTTTTGTGTGGTTTGGCAGAATTGACTATAAGAGAGTTGTGTTATTTTTAGATTTGTATTATTGACAACATGATGTGAAATTTCAACAAGACCTCCAGTCTTCATTCCTGAAAAAGAAACTCAGAGAACAATAAGAACAATGATTGCTTCTGTGGTAAATGCTCCCCAGGTCAGTGATATATCCACCTTTCTCTGAAAATTGTTTTTGTTGTTGTTGTTGAAACTATTCAAGACTTTAATTTCCTATCACTGGCAATGTTAGTTTTTGGAAGTGTTTATTTTTGCCTTATTTATTTGTTTTTTCTTTCCTTATATTTCAGGATCATGTCTTTAAACATTTCAATTTATAGCAGAGACTTGACCCATTATATTTTCACTGGATTTTAAACTATGAGGATATGAATTTCCATGGACTTTAGACTTGAAGTTCTAAAATACAAGCTATTGTAAATGACACTCAAGAAATATATTTTTGGCCATTTTTCTACATAGAATGAACTTGTGTCCTTTTATGTTAGCTAGGAAGGAAGGTTTCATGTGCCACATAGTTGCATTTCTGGAATGGTCAGTTTTCCAGAAACAGGCTTATGAACATGAATATGCTAATACATGGACCTTTTCACTGACATCACTGAGCAATTTATAGAAAAGTAGAAAAGACTTTACTGTCTTGAACCCTAATAGTAAACATTTTAGCACCCTAGAGAACACAGATGATGGAAGTAATATGTGGCTTCCTCTTGCCAGAAAGTTGATGTGTCTGTGGGGAGATGAAGGTAGCAGTGTTCTGGTTTCTCTTTTTGCCAGATTATGTCACACAGTGATGAGGGGTGTGTTTACACCTAAAATGTACTTGTCTCAGAAGAGATTCTGCTCAAAGATCAGTGGGTAATTCTCTTTAGAAAATTCGTATTTTCTCTTTATCTTTTGTTTCATTTTTCCCGAAGAGGCATAAGCACTGCTGTCTTCACATTTGTATGGCATTATGTGGAATATATTAGTAGGAATTTTCTAGAGACTACTGATTTGGTGTTGCACATATCTGTTTTGAAGTATGAATGCATGCCCCTCTTACTTTACTCTCTTTTGAAGAAAGAAGGCTGTCCAGCCTATGTGTTTCCTCTCTCTGAAGGTTTATATTATACAGGGTGAAATTCTGAAGAGTTGTGTCAATGTTGCTATTTCTTTCTTTACAGTAATATTTTATTTAAGTATTTGAGGATTTGTCTGCATATTTTTATGTATACTGGATGAGATGCCCCTGGATCCCTGAGATCAGCACCAAATCCTTGGCACTAAATTCAGGCACTGTGATTAGTTTCTATGTGTTTAGAGAGAATTAAATTAGATTTCTCTTCAGGAATAGCAAGTGCTTTTTATCTCTGAGCCATGACTTCAGGCTTTGGATTTACATTTCTGGTGTACACTTGTAATAGCTTATAAATTGTGTATTCTACTTTTTGAATAATGAAGGAGTAATCATAAATGGTACTTATCTATGCTAAAAATCCTGTTAAATGAATTAGCTCAAATACTGAAGAAAAGAATAAAGTTGATATTAAATTTTCATGTGATTCAGTCACATAAGCAATAATATATTCAAAATTAATGAAGAGTCACCAAGCAGTGGTGGCACACACCATTGATCCCAGCACTCGGGAGGCAGAGGCAGGCATAGCTCTATGAGTTCGAGGCCAGCCTGGTCTTCAAAACAGTTCCAGAATAGTCTCCAAAACCTACAGAGAAACGCTGTCTCGAAAAACCAAATTAAAAAAAAAAATTAATGAAGAGTAAGAATATTTTTCTTCCTATTGAATACATTTATTTTGAAACAATATGTTTTTACTTTACCTGAATGAATTGTCACATATGCCATGTATTTACATGTATATTTCTAATTATTGTATAGTGAAACACAGTATGGAATTCTTGAAATTGTTATCATCAGTGTTTGTGTCAACTTTTAGAAAAATTCAAATAATATTGATGTTGTATAATTCTTCCTTTTCTATTCATGGTTGTAAATATTTCTCAAAAAATATCTTCACAAACTTGATTCTATGTGTTGATTGGAACATTGGATGTATACAGTGATTTTACACTCCTTATTCTCAAGGGAAAAAAATGATGTAAATCATCCATGAATTCTGCATTCCATATTCTATCTCTTTAAGAAAGGGAGCAGCATTGTACCTAGACCTCAGGATCTCAACTGAGCATTTTAGAATAGAGTCAGATAAACCCAGGTTCAGAAAGGATTAATCTAGTCCTTAACATTGACGTTATATAATTTCACTGCATACTTTTGCTCATTTTAACTTTACCTTCTGAGATGTGAGACTGGGATTCTGTTTGATATCAACACACACTTCATAAAGGTAAATTCTTACATCTAGACCTCAAATGTGTATGTTATTTTCCCTAAAATTTTGCTGATTAAAAGGATATTATGTCATTCTGTTTACACGGAGATGAAAAATACAATAAAGACTATGAATATTTTAGAAAGCATCTTTTATTAAACTTAAACTGTAATATTATATATGTGTATATATATATATATATATATATATATATATATCTTCATATATTTCTCTGAAAGTGTATGTGTGTGTCTCTTACAAATAAGGTTCCTCAGAGAGCATTGGTTCTCAAGGATCTGCAAGTAAATTCTGTGTTGTAGTGCTATGAATGTGCTGGGAATGAATCAAACTACTTAATGTTTTAAGAACATTAAGACATTACAGCCTGCAAACTAGAGGCAATATTTTTTTAAAGATTTTGTTTATTATGTATACAGTTATCTGCATGCATACTTGCACACCAGAAGAGGCCACCAGATCTCATTATAGATGGTTGTGAACCACCATATGGCTGCTGGGAATTGAACTCAGGTCCTCTGGAAGAGCAGCCAGTGCTCTTAACTTCTGAGCCATCTCTCCAGCCAATTTTTTTTTAATATAGTGATTGTGACAATTCTTTTTTTTCTGTTACTCAGTTCTTAGAAAACATCAGAAAATTCATGGAGGAGAGAGACGCAATGAATGTAAACAATGTACTGTCTTCCTATACATTGTCTCTTGAAAGAGTAGCAATATAGCACTTCTATAAACTTGTGTCTTTAAAAATTGCCATGCCTCATCTATATCATAAACATCTCTCTGGTTCATTAGGTGTCTTTTATCCAAGAAATCATTTTGTGAAGCAGTGTATGATAATTAGGTAATTTTCCATTACAGGGTCTGTTATCATTCAGAGATGTGGCTGTAGACCTCTCACAGGAGGAATGGGAATGTCTAGACTGTGCTCAGAGAGCTTTATACATGGATGTGATGCAGGAGAATTACAGCAATCTCCTTTTTGTGGGTAAGTATTCTCTTCTTGTAGAATTCCTGATTTATCTTTCCTTTTCCCTACTTTTTGTATCTGTAAACCCTCTAAAACTAGAAAATCTCGGAAGTGAGGGAAATATTGATTATCAATATAACTTTTTAATGGTGCTTCATTTACATTTTCTGTGTTCTCTAGAAGAGTATTAAATGGTATATTCTCTGTGACCTATCGAGCCCTCCTATGTAATATACAAAGAAAATCTCAAAGGCTAAAGATTACTGAATAGTCAGAGCAAGGTAATATATTACAGTACTCAAAACAATTAAAATATTTTAATTTTGCTACTGGTTTAAAATCTTCACCTATTTGCGATTATAAACCATGTAAAAGGTTTTAGAGAAAGATGCTGTTTGTGAGAATGTTGTTTTTGTTTATTTTTGAGATGTGGTTGCTATGTTTAGTACTGGCACAACATGATTTTAATATTTGCCCTTTAGAAGCTGAAGAAGGAGGGCATGGTGTGTTTCCTGCTGACCTGGGTTTTTAATTCCTAACTGACCAAAGCTGTACTGTGTGACTCTTTCTCAAAAACATAACAAGTAGAGAAACATTCTTCATATGATCATTCACAGATCTTATTTCTCTAAGTTCTTACTGCTCAAACACCCACTTGTCTTACAAGCTGCAAGGTACAGTGTTTAGATAAGAATGAGAAGGTTATGTATGAAGGTGACCTAGGTCCTCTACATATGTGTGACAGTTGTTTAGTTGGGTCTATTTTGGAGACTCCTAACAGATCAGGGAATTGCTTAACTCTTTTTCTTGCTAGTGAGAAACTATTGCTCATAGTGGGTTCTGTTGCCCAGCCTTAATACAAAGGGAGGGACTTAGTCCTACCTCAGCTTAATATACGGTGTTTTGTTGACACCCACGGGAGGCCAGCTGTTAAGAGCAGTTTTTCTACCAACCTGGTCCCAAAGCCACACCAGCCCCAAATAACACACACAGACACTGTATTAGATATAAAGCTGTTGGCCAGTTACTAATGTTTCTTATTGGCTAGCTCTGTCTTAAATATTAACCCATTTCTATCAATCTAAGTATTTCTACCTGGTCTCATCTTACCAGAGAGAGGGCCCAGACCTCTGTTCTCTCCAGTCTCTACATGTTGACTTCCCCCTACTACTTCCTTGAATCCTCCTTGTCTCCTAGTCCCGCCTATCTTGCTGTCCTATTGGCCAACAGTGCTTTATTCATTAATCAATACAGGAAACATATTTACTGAATGACATCTCCCATCAACCTGCCCCTTTCAGAACAGAAACAGATGAGGAGTTGATGGGGAGACAGAGGGAGGCCAGGCCAAGAAACAGAAAGAGAGGAGGGAAGGGAAACTGCAGTCAGGATGTTAAATAAATGGAAAAAAAATTAATAAAAGAAAAAAAAAAAAGGAGCAGGCTATTAATTGGGCCCTGTGCTTTGATATAGATTGGTCTGGAGATTCTTAGGAGCATCCATATAATGATTTAAAATAGAAAAGTCCTCTATTAAGAGCTCTGTTCTTTAAAGTTACTAGTTTATATATCATAGAAAACATAAGAAAACACCAGGTTTGAACCTGTTACTCATGCATTAATTGCTATTATCATAATTGTACTATATTTTTTCAGAGAACTATCGCATATATGGTAAATGTGAGAAGTTCTTGCATCAAGGCACAAAGCATTTTATCCATGATCATGAAAATATCCAAGAGAAGACTTATAAATGTAATGAGATTTTCAAAGTGACTCATGAATCCTGCCATTGTACACCTTTTGACACAAGTGATACTGCAGAAAATTACAACAAGTACAGATTTGGTATCCACAGAAATGCCTGTGTTGAAAACTTAAACCTCAACAGACACAAAAGTGGGAAGGCTGGAGAAGAACTTTGCAAATGTACAGACCAAGTAAACTTTTTAAATTTGATTACCATCATTAGCCAAAATAAAAAAACTCACACAGGAAAGGAAGACCACAAAAATGTAGAGTATGATAAATCTTTTCAGTCTAATACAGAAATCACACTGAAACAAACTGAATGCGGGAAGAAACCACACCAATGCTGGAAATGTGGAAAATTCTTCAAGACTCATTCAAGCCTCATTGGGCATCAGAGAGCCCATCGTAGAGACAAGTCCTATAAATGTACAAAATGCAGTAATTCCTTTCTCCATTTTTCACAACTCAAAGTACATTACAAAATCTATTGTAGAGAAAATCCCTACAAATGTACAGAATGTGGTAAATGCTTTTATAACACATCAGACTTTGAAAGACATTTCAGCATCCACAGTGGAAAGAAACCTTACAAATGTAGTGAATGTGATAAATCCTTTCTTAGTGCCTCATATCTTAGAATACATCAGAGAATCCACACAGGAGAGACTTACAAATGTAGTGAATGTGATAAATCCTTTACCACAAGAGACCATCTTCGAAATCATCAGAGAATCCACACAGGAGAGAAACCTTACAAATGTAGCACATGTGACAAAGCCTTTACCACAAAAGACCATCTTCAAAGTCATCAGAGAATCCATACAGGTGAGAAACCTTTCAAATGTAGTGAATGTGGAAAATGCTTTATAACAAAAGACCATCTTAGAACTCATCAGAGAATCCACACAGGAGAGAAACCTTATAAATGTAGTCAGTGTGACAAATGCTTTACAAGTGCCTCAAATCTTAGAACTCATCTGAAAAGACATACAGGTGAGAAGCCTTATAAATGTAGTGAATGTGACAAATCCTTTAAAAGTAGTTCAAATCTTAGAACTCATCAGAGAATCCATACGGGTGAGAAACCTTACAAATGTAGTCAATGTGACAAATCCTTTACTGAGAAAGGGACATTTAGAAATCATCAGAGAATCCATACAGGAGAGAAACCTTACAAATGTAGTCAGTGTGACAAGTCCTTTACTGAGAAAGGGACATTTAGAAATCATCAGAGAATCCATACAGGAGAGAAACCTTACAAATGTAGTGAATGTGACAAATGCTTTACCAAGAAAGTGACCTTTAGAACTCATCAGAGAATACATACAGGAGAGAAACCGTATAAATGTAGCAAATGTGAAAAATCTTTTACAGGGAGAGGCAATCTTCGAACTCATCAGAGAATCCACACAGGCGAGAAACCTTACAAATGTAGTGAATGTGACAAATCCTTCAACACAAAAGACAATCTTAGAACTCATCAAAGAATTCACACAGGCGAGAAACCTTACAAATGTAGTGAATGCGACAAATCCTTTACCTGGGATTCATCTCTTAGGATACATCAGAGACTCCATACAGGAGAAAAATCTTATAAATGTAGTGAATGTGACAAATCCTTTACCACAAAAGGCAATCTTAGAACTCATCAGAGATTACATACACTAGAGAAACTTTAGAAATGTAGTAAATGTGAAAAATTCTTTTCTGTAGGTTCAACTCTTAGAATATGTTCTGGGATATTTGATCACACTATGAAACCTGAGTTTTAATAATATCAACATTGATCAGGGAGCAGAACCCAAAATTAATTGACAGGAATTAGCCCTAGAGAGTATGAAGGGGTATGGAAGATTGCTAGATTCACAGGAAGTAGTAGGAAGTGACTTGGAGTTTTGCAGTCTTCTGGTTTGAGATGGGTTAGAAAGACATTCTTGCTGGGTCTCTGGCATAAAGGGAAGGTCATTTGGTTGCTTCTTGGCCTCTCTGATCTAGCAGGTTTTCACCCTAACACCTGACTACTAAGTCTTTATTGGTAAATAGAACAATAGACAAATAGTTTAAAACTACATATGGTGGCTGTGGCACTGCCAGTGACAACAGAACCAGAAATTCCACCAAGCTTCCCCCCAAGCAACTGTATTTAATACAGGGCCATGGGCTCACAGCGGTGCAACTTCTAAGCAGACAGAAGAACATGAACACATACTAAAGAGAAACTTTAATGACTGAGAAATCCTTCACTATGTGCTCCTTTCTTAGAACATATTAAGGAATTCATTCAGGAGAAAACCCTTACAAGTGTGGTTATCTTAGTTCAAGTTTTATTTCTCTGAAGAGACACCATGATCATGGCAATCCTTTTAAAGGAAGGCATTTAATTGGAGCTTGCTTACAGTCTCAGAGTTAGTCCATTATCCTAGTGATGGGAAACATAGTGACATGTAGGCAGGCATGGTGCTAGAGAAAAAGTGAGATGTGTACATCTTCATCCTCAGGCAGCAGGAACTGAACTTTGTAGTAGGTATGGCTGGAGCATATGTGAGACCTCATAGCCGGTGACATATTTCTTCCAACACAAGCCACTGCTATTCAAACAAGGCCATACCTCCTAATATTGCCACTTCTTATGAGCCAAGCATTCAAACATTAGTCCATGGGGGCCATAGCTGTTTAAACCACCATAGTAGTCAATATGAAATACCTTTTGTCTACAAAATCACCATGAGAGCACATCAAAGTATTCATATGCGAGAAAAAAACTTAAAAATGTAATGTACATGGAAACGTGTTTACCAGTCTCTCAGGTCTAAGAAAACATCAGAAAATTCATACTGGCAGAAAAGTTTCAATGGGAAAACATTTGGCATGCGCTTAAACCAATCTTTTCTTAGCTACACTTGAGACTCCACACTAGACACTCATTATGAACATGACAAACTTGTGAAAGCCTATATGATACTTTCAAATCTTAGAAAATATCAAGAGCTAATGCAGAGGGAAACTGAAAATCTAGGACAATTTTCATTGACTTTGTATGTGTTCAACCTCAAATGAAGACAAAATGCAGAAACAAGAAGTATACACTGCTATGTAACAGTTTCCTGGAGACTGGAATGATTCTTTCTGAAGGGAAGTTCCTTAAGGCACCACTCAAAAGAGCTTCAAACACTCCCTGAAACTACCAGGATTCAGTGTTCTTGACTCAAATGAAGAAACTGACAACTCATGCACCTTAGAAGAGAATTTTAGCCAAGATAGAATGCTCTTTAGATATACCTACAAGTGTGCTGTGTGCTCCAAGTATGCAGTATTCATAAGCTGTATCACATGTTGGTTTCGAGTTTCATAATAGCAGCTGGGTTTGAGTCCACTATGCTCCAGTAATTGCTTCCTCATATTTCTGTAAGCTATCCCAGTGAAGCACAATGATTCAAAAAGTTGAACTTTATTCTATTTAATTTTTCCAGATAGGGTGAGTAGATACATATGCATGCTGCATCTCTACAGGGAATGTGTCCCTTAAACATTTTCTGAACCCTCTAATTGTTCCTTCAAACTTGTAAACAAGAAATTGATAACAGACTAGCAGTTCTCAACCTGTGGGCCATGTTTCCTTTGGGATTAAAAGACTCTTTCATATGAATTGTCTAAGATATAGGAAAATATATTTTCAATGCTCTTAGGAACTGAGATACCATGCATCTATTGTCTGTAGGTAGGTCTGCCCAAATGCAGATACACCCACAAAGGAATGCATGAAACTGTGTTAAAGGCTTACAGCATGAGGAAAGTTCGAGCCACTGTATTAGAGAAAAGTTTTTATTTGAGCCTTCAAAAATAAGGAAGATTTTTTTTTTACTCAATACTGCAGTGTTACATTCATAGTAATACTTTTAAGTTATAAAGGGTCCTGACATAGAATATAGGGAGTTGGAAGTCTCAGATAGAAGGCTACTTTCTCCCATGCATTCAAGTAAAAGTGAAAGGTCTGCAAAATACAAATGAAAATACAGCTACTAAATTGTCAGTGACAGATATCATCCAAACTGAATTGTCTTTCTGAATCATCTGAACTCATGCTAATATCTTATGATTCAGCTGAACTCCAATGACTTTCAGAACAATGCAACCCGTGAACATGTACTACAGACTATTGTGGTAACCTTGTGTCATGCTATCCCTTGTGAACCCTACACTACAAGCCCCAAGGAATGAATTGAATTTCAAGTCCTTTTTTTAAGACTTCTGACTTTCTGACCAGATTCTTTCTGATGTCAGCCAGCACCCAGCCACATACATGCTACAAAGCACTGGCACACATAAGCTAATATACATGATCTAATAAATAAAAAATTTTGTTTTAAAAACAAAAAATGTGCAATTTGGATTTGCCAGATTGTTTCTTTAGAAATGAGTCTGGAATATTCTATTGTAAATGTCAAGATTATCCTATTATATGTTACAACTTATGTGAAAAATGCTACTAAGAGAAAATGCAATTATAAAATAAAATTATTAATTTTACTGTGCATTAGTCCTATGTCTTCATGAAACTTCAAAGAATTCATTACTTTTTATTTTAGGATACTGTATAATTAGGAATATTTCCACCTTAATTTTGTTTCCTAATCTAGTTTTTGATTGTTTCTGTAGTTCCTTTAGATTCTTTTTCTTTCTTTGTTTTCCATTTCCTAATATACCTCCAACAGGACTTTGATTAAAACTTGCTCACTATCTCTACACAGTAATAAAATTTGTCTATGTTTTTGTGCCATTGTTACTCCTGTTGTCTGTCTTCACATTTTTCAATAGTTTCCTTTGCAGTAATTGCAATAGATTTTGAATCCTGATTTGATCTTCTAAAGGTTAGCTTCCTCATTTTCATATCTTTTTCACTTTGTTCATTTTGAATAAATGGCCCATTTGTTCATTTTGAATAAATGGCCCATTCTTGAGGCAAATTGTTTACAATTATCAATGAAGCTCTTACTAATTGTGTTTCCTTCCTTCGTTGTTCCCTTCCTTCCCCCCTTTCTTATTTCTTTCTTCCTTTATTTTTATTTATCTATTTCGAAACAGGATTTCTCTGTAGCTTTGGAGGCTGTGCTGGAACTCAGTACACCAAGCTGGCCTCAAAATCACAGAAATTCTCCTGTCACTATCTCCTGAGTGCTGGGATTAAAGCAGTACACCACCAATGCCTAACTGTTTTAGTGAGAATCTACTAGCTATTTCTCAATGTTCACGTCATACATGTCTTTTTTGTTTTCTGTAGTTGTTTATGTGCATTTTTGTCAGTGAGTATTTGTTATTGCAAGAATGTACCATTATTAGTCATTTCATACAAAAGAATATGTGTGATATAGTTGAATTTTACATGAAGTTTGTGCTTCTTTGGTTTTGGAAGAAGCTGCACACTGACTTGGAAGGTGAGTACAGTAAGTTGAATATCCCCAAATACTGTATGTCTTGGTCCTGCAGGATTTGGTATTTTTGAGTATAGTTAGTGTGGGCAGTGAGTAGACAGAGGGAATCTTAGTACCCCTTTGTTGAAAGTTTAGTTCATGACTAATGGTGTGTAACATGGATTTTCCCGAAAGGGGACTGTAGGATGAATCAGTGGGAAACACAAGATAAGTGCTGACTGTAATTTGAGTGCTGCTCACTAACCACATGTAACAGGAGCCCTGAATGGCAGCCACAGTGGGTCAGCAGCTCTAGTTTCATCCTGTTTCTTGTGAAAAAGGATGTCAAGGTAGTTATAGAGTAAAAGTATTAGCATACTTATTAAACAGGCGGAAGAATTGCTCATCAGTTTTAAAAGGGGTGAATGAGTGAAGTGCAGCTTCAGGTAAACTCTTAGAGAAAGGAGAGAAGTATGGCCCTGTAATGCTGTTCATGATCCTGCCTCAATTAAGAGTTTCTATAGAGATGATGCAGAAAGAAGTTGCAGAAATGAAAGCATCCTTTCATGATAACTGACTTTGACTAGAGTTACCTACCTTCACTGGGGTGGGAGGTTACTGGTTAACTCTCGAAAGACTCCAACTCTCATAATGTGATGCCCCTCCACTGTCTACTACAGTCTCCCAATAGACATTTAGGGAAGGGCTTAATATGGACCCCTCTGTCAGCCATGTGGAAGTGTTCATGGTTTCAGTTCGATGAGAGATTTGGTAGATGGCCAGAGAGGGATGTAGTCAGGTGCAAAAGTGGTTTTTGGTCATTCTTACCCATTCTTTAGCTCTGGTTCTTCCATTTTTCCACTGTTGCTTCCTGCATATTCCTTTGACCTGTACCAGCAAGTAATTCTCCCTTGATTGGCTTCTGAGAAGGAAGATCCAGAGGATCAGTATAAAGAAGATAGACAAATTAGAATCTAAAAATATTGCACAAATTATGTCTTATGCAAGCAAGACTATTAAGGAGTGCAGTAGTAGAAACTCAACTGGAATCTACAAAAGTGGCCTACTGAAGATTCCTAGTAATGGGGAAACCTCCAACCTATAATATATCCTGCCTGTAAGATGTGCTGGGCCAATGCTGGTGCATTTTTCACATAAATTGTAACATATAGTAGGATAATCTTGACATTTACAGTAGAATATTCCAGACTCATTTCTAGAGACACAATCTGGCAAATTGCACATTTTTGTTTATTATTAGATCATGTATATTAGCTTATGTGTGCCAGTGACAACTTTCCTCAGGGTTACAAGAAGATGGGGCCCAACTAGAACCAGGATGAGCAGAATTTGAGAAAGGCACACGATATCTGTGAGATGACTCTGCCTACTGTGGCTTCACGATGCAAGGACTGGGTGTTACTAGAAGTGGTGCACACTGTCTGAGAGCACACAGTTGTTTAGGAGCACAAAGATAAATTTGGAAAGGTAGATTCTGATCCTCCATACCCTGCTATGGGTATCTCCCACCCAGCATAGACAGCAATGTGTCCACTGATAAAAAGGGCCCTGCGCACCTCCCATCCCTGTCTTTCCTCTCCTCTCTTTCTCTCTATCCCTCCTTCCTCCTCTTTCCAATCCTGCTGTTCCTGTGTCCAGAAGCTGTCTCCCCCTTCCTTTCCTCCTTTTACCATCCCTTTTAATAATAATAATAAAATAATAATAATAGTAGTAATAATAATAATAATAAAACAACAACCCTCTGTTTGAACCCCGTCGCAGAGCGTCTTTCTATCGTGCTCTGCCTTTCTTAAAGTACAGGAGTGTGGACCTGGTAAACTAAGAAAAAAAAAAGCCTTCGGTAGGCGGGTTTAAAGGAGACGTAACCGGAAGCTGCGGGTAGTGGGCGGGGCCTGGAGGAGCCGCTCCAGGAACCAGGCTGACGGGACCGGAAGTTCCTCCATTCCCTGTTGGCCTCCGGGGGGGGCCACGATTCGGGACCCGGGTGCGGAGGACACGGCGGGTGCCGCGGGGACCTGAAAACTCCGGAGCCGCAGTCTCCGCGCGGGGCGGCCTGGGAAAGTCACAGTCAGCAGCGCAGTGGCGGGAACCGCAGCCCTGCGGCCCTGGAACCTCCCAGGTGAGAGGAGCTGCGGGGCTGGGACCCAGGAGGGAGGGGACCGGGCTGTGCTCGCTCAGGCTGCTCAGAAGACACCGTCAGCTCCGGGCCGCCCGTGGCGGTGCCGGAGGCGGCGGCTCAGGTCATCACCTGCAGCCAGGTGCGATCGTTTCCATCCCCACAAGCTGGGCGTCAGGCGCAGCCCTTAAGTGCTCGTCTGTCAGGGTTCTCTGTCTTACTCCTGGTTTGCTCTTACCCGTTCTCCGTCTCCGTCTCTCATCATCCCACTCTGAGATGTCATTTAGATTTTTTTTGCTCATCCTCCTCCCCTAATAAACCTCTCAACCCACACCCGTTGCACATGGCGTGTTCTCTTAGCAGCCAGGGCCTGGCCGCCAGAGGTACCCAGTTTTCCACCGCTTTATCCGTAACAGACAGACATAGCTTTAAAAAAAAAGTCTGTCGTTTATATTTTTCCATTGTCGGTAAGTTCTAGATACCATTGAGTGTGTCTTACTGTGATTTTTTTTTTTTTTTTGCCAGACTATTCTGTCATAAAATGGTTCTTAAAATAATCTAGTAGAGCATTTGCATGGTCTGTTTTTTGCAAACCCGGTTGGTTGCCATTGTGACAATTCCAAAGCTCCTTGAATTTAAATTCATCCCTGCTTTCTAACTATCTGGTTTTACTACTTTCTCATTCAAGAAAATGGTCATTGTCTCCCAAGAGTAGGGGTCCCCAGATCACATGAGGAATCAGTACAGATATGTTTAAACAAAAAATACATTTTGTGGAGTCCCACACATACGGTTGTAAACATTTAGCAAACCTTTTACTCACCATTAATTTCCGATGTGGAGTATGTGCCTTCATATACTGTATTCTTAAGTTACATCTCTGTCTAAGCAAGACCAACATGGCTGCTGTGTCAGGCCACTTAGTCATAGGTTGAATCAAATTTTTAGGAAGCATCATTTGCATAGTTATGAGCACTCACCTGTATCAGGAAAATGTCTCTTCGGTTGAAGAAAAGCGCTCTACCAATTACACACATGGCCAAACTGTCGTTTTTTATTTGAGGATTTGTTGACGTTCATGCTGTTGAGGTCTTGTGGGAGTGGGAATGCCTTGACCTTGCTCACAGGGCTTTTTGTAGAGATCTATCAAAGTACACCAGTCTGGATTCTGAGGGTGTGAACAGTTTCCTTTTGGTCTCCCTAGTTCCTGCTCAGGGTTCCTGGGAGAACTGCTCTGCATATTGTGTGAGCTGCGTGTGAATGAGTCTCACATCTTACAGAGTGAAGTGAAATCCCCAGAGAGACATTTTTCTTGACATTTCCTCTCTCCTTCATGTTTATCTTTTGAGCTGGTGTTAGCGTCTTTCATTTTTGTTCTGTAAAAATGTCTAGGTGCTTTCTGAAGACTCTCTTTGTCCTATGCAGGTCTCACATTGCTCAGCCAGTCCTCCTCACCTGTGAAGCAGAACCAAGAGCCCTGGATGGTGAAGAGCAGACAGTAACAAAAGATCCAGGTATGTATGCTACAGGGATATGAGGAAGGGGTGAAGGGATGCAGAAAGGTTCAAGTGACAGTAGAAACAGGACTTGAAATTGGTTGTCACATTCTATTTCATAAGAAGTGATTACAGAGAATTCCACTGAGAATAATCCCTTTATTATTCTTTCGAAGGTGATTGAAATCTGTGTATATAATTATTAATAATCAGAAACAGATTTTTTTTTTTTTTTTTTTGGCTTTTCATGGGAAGGATGCTGTCCATCTCTCATTCCCATCAATAGTTGTGGTTTTACACCAATATTAAGTGGTTCCATTACTATAATTTTAATAATGTACTTAGAACCATTGAAGCCTCTTGGTTTGTTCTGCATGCAGAGAGTTTTTTGGAGCATCTTTTAGTTCCTTCAGGTTCTGTGTCTTTTAGGGTGACTATCTCTATTTTCTAAAATAATGCCAGCAGGAGTTTGATAAGATTTACTTAATAGGTCTGGCAAGTATTGAACTCCATCCACATTGCTTCTCTTTGGTATCTTGTGGTCTGTCTTCATCACTCAACAGCTGAGCCTGCTGCATCTTTCATATATTTTGAAATTGCATTTGACCTTTCATGATTTTTGAAGTCATCGTGGTTTCTCACAATTTTATAAATTTGGGGAAGATTTTTCTCTATGTAAAAGAATGTCTGTAAGATCTTGGTACAAATTACTTAGCCTCTTTCTAGAACATAAACATCCTGTTACATTTCTTTATGTGTCTGAATGAGAATGTGCTGTCAGTGAGTCCGTATTCACATTTTTTGGGGGTGGGGTTCTGTTTTCTATCTACCGATGTCAACATTCAAGGTTCTCGAAGAAGAGACATTTAAACAATGATCTTTACTAGGTTTGAATACTTACTATATTTTTAAGACAGGGCGACAGTGTAGCATGTTTGAGAAGACTGGGCATCTTCAGTTGTGTGGATGATTCCCTGGAAGCCTGCTAGTCATTATTGGTTTCCTGTGCTTGCTGGTCATGGTCATCTGTTTTAAAGGTAGACACTGAAGCTTCCCTGAATCACTGTCTATCTGCTTCCTGCAATTTTGTTGTTGTATGATTTATGTATGTAGTTGGTAACAGTTTTATAAACTACATTCATGTTGATCGCATAGCTTTCGGGAAATGTGCCATTTGTTCGTTTGTTATTGGTGGTCTTCATATTTATCAATTCGGCTTTTCCTGTTACCTCCCATAATTATGGCCAACCCTCTTCACAGAAAATCTTTTAAAAAGCTCCTTCAGTTCCTTTATTCTTAGCCCATTGTAGCCTTGCAATTGAAGCAAACACTTTTATAGAAAGTATATATTTTGATTTTAGGGTGTCTTCTTTTCTTTTGAAGCTGTATCTTGTTTTTATGTTTGGTTTGGGTCATATTAAATATATGCATTTCAAGAAATCATTGAAGAAAAATAGAAACTCGTACTCTTTAGTTAATATTTTTCTTATATTTTCCTTTTTCTTAGTTTGGTTCTAATTCATTGATAGCTTGCAGTGTATTTCATTTCTTTATATACTTGAGTAGTACCTTCTCTAGGTTTTCTTTTTTTTGTTTGTTTGTTTGGTTGGTTGGTTCTTCATTAAACTGTACACTGTCTTACTTGGTGGCTGCAGTGATGTAGATTCACACTGAGTCTGTCTCTGTGTTCTTCTTGCTGTATTGTCTTCAGTGTTTCTAATTGTTTAGGACTTTGAGTGTAGACACTGACTGGACAGAGAGATCTCAGTCTACATTAGATGAACATTTTCTTCATGACTACATGTGTGTAGCATGTGCTGTTTATATTTAGGCTTTTGTGCATTGTCATTTTGGGGGGTTTATTTCTTGATTATAATACTTGTTTTGAGTTTTTTAGCTTTTTGTTAAAATCTGGTTCTTTTATATATTGTACTTTTATATAGTAGCTAATAAATTTTTCCATTCTGTAGGCTATTTTTTTCATACTTTCAGATATTACCATTTCTATGCAATTTTTTCAGTTGTACACAGTCAAATTTCACTAATTCATTGCTTTTTACCTATTTTCATTTGTCTATATTTACCTTTCTCTACAAGACTGGTTGATAGTGTGTAACTTAAATTTTTGGAGTATTGGTGAAATTCAGTTGGTCACACACAGCAGGTAAGGTTGCTCTGGATCTGCTGCTCTTACTACTTTAGGTGTTAATTTTTCTGCCACTACCATGGTTGTTTTTATGGGTCTACAGTGTCTGCTGAAATCACAGCCGGGATGACTCAAGCTTTGCTCTGTGGGTCTGGACTTTCTCTGCACTGTTAGGGTCTTTGTAATTTCATAATTTGTAAATAATATAAATTTGTAGAAGTTTCTTTTCTGTACCTGTGAAGATAATCATAGGTAGTTTGATTTTCGTGGTGTTAATCATATATATCTTTTAGTACTGTCATTTTCACAATAATGTATTCCATTCCACTTCAAGTCTGTTTTTCCCATCTTCCAGTGTCATCCTCCATTTATTTAATGAATTTTAGTTTCGTGTGTGTGTGTGTGTGTGTGTGTGTTTTCCAAGGTTGGGTTTCCCTGTGTAGCCCTGGCTGACCTGGAACTAGCGTTATATACCAGGCTAGCCCCCAAAGTCACAAAGATCCACCTGCCTGTGCCTCCCAGGTGCTGGGATTACAGGTGGGAGCCACTACTACTTATTTTTACTTATTTTTATGCTTGTAAGCCCTCAGCCACATTGTTATGGACAGTTATCTTTTACAATCAGCACCTACTGATGCCAAAACTTCTCAGTGTGTCTTTGTCATCCCACTTCAGTGTCACTGTTTTTCATGAGTTGACATTCACCCTGGTACTCTACGGAAGTACCCTCAGTATTCCATGAATTCTGTCTCACTGTTCACAGATTTAAGTCTCCACTGTACGTTGATTTAAGTCTCCACAATAGCTAATTAAGGAACAATAAACAAAGTCCTGGAGAGGTGGCTCAACAGATAAGAGCACTTGTTACTCTTGCAATTTCCAGGTTTAGTCCCCTGTCCATGCATGGTGACTCACCTCAGGTTCCAACGGCTCTAGTGTCCTCTTATGACCACTACGGGCACTTCATACATGAAGTGAACAGATCTACCCACAGGAAAAAAAACCCATGCACACAAAGTTAAAATACTGAAGTCTTAAGAAAGAGAAACAGTAAATGAAGTAGAGATGTTACATAAGGATTCAGGACCGGAAAGAACATGGAGGTGTTGCTGCTAGTGTGAGAGTGAAGTGTGGAGTGTAGATATGTGATTTCAAATGGCCAAACTGAAGAAATTAATGTTCGGTCAGTGATACATATTAGTTTTATTGTTTTGGGAATTTCAATCATGTATGTATCATGTGTTTGATCATAATCACCCCCAGTCCCTCAGGTCTAATTAACCACTCCCATAATACTTCATCACATCTCATATTCATGTTCTTTGGAATGTACTGAATCCATGCCAGCTTAGCTCTATGCACAAGAGCCAGACCTCTGAGGAAATCTGCTTCTGCCTCTTCCAAGGCCAGTAGTTGCCTATAATATCCCAGGTAGTGGTGTGATGATCTTTTTCACTTTTCTGGTTTGATCTGGCTTATTCCTGTGTGATGGGAGATGTCATTCTGTATGTTTCTCATATTGGTTAATAATAAAGCACTGTTGGCCAATAGGAAAGGAAGATAGGAGGGACTAGGAGACAAGGAGGAAATAGGAAGTAGTAGGGAGGAGTCAAGATGGAGAGTCTGGAGAGAGCTGGACGCCAGCCGCCTCCCCGGTAAGAGAAGGCCATGTGAAGATACATAGAAATGGGTTAATAATTAAAGGCAGAGCTAGCCGATAAGTAACAAGTAACCGGGCCAACAGTATTATATCAAATACAGAGTCTCTGTGTATTATTTGGGGCTGGCGCAGCAGCAGGACAAGACCGGGCGGCGGCAGGCAGAAAAAACCATACCGTTACAAATGGCGCCCAACGTGGGGCTTTCAAGAAACTCTGCTAACAATTTATTGGTGTGTATGAGAGATGGCAATGGCAGTGACCACATCTCCAAGCCGGCAGCATGCTTTCTGGGTGGCAGCGCAGACCAAGGTGGTGAGCACAGCTCTCAGTGCTGGCGGTAAAAGTACCCGCCACCATCTTTGGTAAACCACGGCAGAAACAAAGACTTTCATTTTAACAATGTTGTTGTTTAACAGATAAAGACTCATGGCCATAAAAAGATAAAGATTTACAGTAGAGACAGATTCACATTAAGAAAAGGTACTAAAAGTTTACAGTGTGTTTTAAAAAAATACATAGGCTTGGGAGACAAAAATAAAATGGTTTTAAATAGACAAAGAGGAACTGGGTGTTGTAGCACACGCCTTTAATCCCAGCGCTCAGGAGACTGAGGCAAGCAGATCTCTTGTGATTTCAAAGTAAACCTGGTATGCAGAGTAAATTCCAGGACAGATAAGAGTTACACAGAAAAACCTGTCTCAAAAAATAAAAAGTAAAAGAAACAGAGTAATAATAAAGCCACATAAAAATAAAAAGCTCAGAGAAAATCTGGTTACTGTATGCTATTGTGTTGTCTCTACATTGTTTGACTGCTGAGAAAATAACAACTGATAAAGGAAATGCTGCTGGATTAATTAAATTTATATATTTTAAAAATGCTTTGACTCTAACATTTAAGTTCAAGGACAAGTTACTGGGGAAAAGGATTTCTATTTTTGTTTCCACAAAAAATAAAAAGCTGTGGATTCCTTCCAGACTAATGTGGTTTGATCAAGCCAGGCCCCCTGAAACAGTCGCTGATGATCCAACATTCAAAACAGCTTGGACAAGGCAGTCTTACAGACTACAGCCAAGATTTCTACATCTTCTCAGGATCCCCCATGACAGCGCCCCCTGTCAGCAGAAAGTAGTTTGAAAAGAACGACGCCCAAATTCCCAAATATTGTTTATAAATGTTTGTTTTCATTTATATGGGGTTGGTTATAAATGGTTAATGATCACAACCAATATCTTTTTAAAGGTAAAAAAGGGATTATGGTATAGATATGAATACTTTGTTTTGGAATGGACTTTCATTTATTGATACAATTTAATGTCAATTTTGTGAGATGTATATTTCTCCTTTTGTTTAGGTATTGTGTTTATATAGCTCATTTAGAAATGTAATGTATGATTCAATACAGATTATAGATAGTACCTATGATAGTCAGATATTATAGTTAAGTTAGTTAAGATTTCTAGATATACAGACATGTATTTGAGATGGATAGGAATTCTTCAAACCTTTCAAAGACCTACAGAATATGGCATTTAAAATGTTTAGGGTTTTTCTTGACAATGAGACATAACTGCTCCTGGCAACACCATGTATGTCAAAAAGGAAGATGGACATTAAAGAAACATATTATGCAGTTTGCCTCCAGTATGGGAAGACTAGCCATTTGGACAAGATACTGCTCTTGTCTGGACTGTTTGAATTTATGCTGTATAAACTGGACATGCAGGACCCACAGAAAAGTGACTGCTGATTCAAGATGGACATTGCTATAGAGTTCCTGCTTCATGGAAGAGTCTGCCAAACAGTCTGCAGGACACAGAGAAAAATGACTGACAAACTGCCAATACAAAAAGACAGTTTAAAGTTTCCTGCTTTGCTGAAGAGTCTGCCAGACACACTATGGCCTATGGGCTAAAGATGGAAGATTACAAAAGAACTTTGGGTAACCAGGCAGTGAATTGTCTCTGTCATCTCTAGAGTTTATATACTATCCTTCTGTGGTCTTTGAAGGAGTTGAAGACAGATAGTTATAGTTAATGTTCCTTAGTTGGGTTAAAGATAAGTTACTTAGACTTTAGACACACAAAGATAAAATAGATGATGAAATATTTTCTTCAAATCTTGTAAATGTTAATGGACTAAATATTGTTAACTGTGATTCTTACTTGATAACTGTTGTATAATATATTTTGCTATGTTAAGGTTAAAACCCTTCTTTTTATTTAGACAGAAAAGAGGAGATGATGGGAGATGTCATTCTGTATGTTTCTCATACTGGTTAATAATAAAGCACTGTTGGCCAATAGGAAAGGAAGATAGGAGGGACTAGGAGACAAGGAGGAAATAGGAAGTAGTAGGGAGGAGTCAAGATGGAGAGTCTGGAGAGAGCTGGACGCCAGCCGCCTCCCCGGTAAGAGAAGGCCATGTGAAGATACATAGAAATGGGTTAATAATTAAAGGCAGAGCTAGCCGATAAGTAACAAGTAACCGGGCCAACAGTATTATATCAAATACAGAGTCTCTGTGTATTATTTGGGGCTGGCGCAGCAGCAGGACAAGACCGGGCGGCGGCAGGCAGAAAAAACCATACCCTTACACCTGTGAAGGTTTATTGCATGTAGATACAGCTTCCATGGAACTAGTTGTGTAATGACGTGACAAATATGGAAACCAAATCAGCTGTGCCTGTGCTCTGATTTCATCACACCTGAGTACCATGGGAACATGAACAAACATCTTATATCACAGCAACTGGGTTTCATTGGCAGCCTGGGGGAAAGTCACCATTCAGCTTTGGGATCTAGTAGGCATCCAGGTAATCCTGGAATTTAGCAGATTAGAGGAGATTCAGAGGTATGAAACAAGCTGGAACAGAACCAAAAGTATGATCAGCTTTCTACTGCTGCTCATCAGGATATGCAGTCTGATAGTTTGCTGTAGATATTTTAATCCTTTAGGTAAATTTTAGATCGTATGAATGTGTCCTTATTTTTGCAATCATCTTAACATTGCCAGGATAAGAGAATTTGCATTATGTTGTCTGCAGACGTGGTTCTCTTTGCTATTTTGGCAAATACAAAGCTCTTGGAATTTAAATTCAACCATGCTTTCTGACTTCCCATTTGCCTAGTCAAGAAAGTGACCTTTCCCACAGCATCCTTTAGATGTTAGTCACATAAAGAGCCACTTCAGATTTCATTGCATCAGGAAATATATTTTAGCAAGCTTTACAGTTATAGTTATAAACATTAACTGTTTTCTCCAATTAATTTTCCATCTGGGGTTTATGCAGGCTAGGATGTAAATACAGCATCCAGAAATGTGTTTTTACATATGTGGTGCTCAATATTATACCTTTGAGTCAGGAAAAGTGTAGTATGCATACAAACTGTGAGAAGATATCAGGCTACACTTTTTTACAATTATAATATACTCTATAGGTTAGTATCTGTTTAATCTTATCACTGAAATGTATGAGAAAAAATTGACTTCAATTGTCTTTTGTCTCCCTTTTCTGTGGAAAGCACTCTTTGCATAACACGTGACCAAATTGGCCTGGTGTTTGGTTTTTGCTTTCTCACACAACTGTGAAGTCTGGCTTAGCTTCCACTCTAAATATATCCTTCTATGCTGTCCTATCTGTAGGAATGTTGACAAGATTTCTGGTATCATGTTGGTTTTTGGGGTCTTTTTATGTGCTTTGGCATTGCTCATAACAAAATTGTATTACTTCTTCTAGCTTTGTATTTTTTGAGACCTCAATGTGAACTTTCAACAAGAATTCCAGTCTTTTTTCCAGACACAGAAACACAGAGAATAAGAAGAATGAATGCTCCTCTGGCTTCCCAGGTCAGTATCATGTTTATATTTCTTTGAAATTTATTTTTATTATTGAAATCATTTAAGACTAATTCTCTACCTCTAGTGATGTTATCTAAAGTGTTTAATTTATCTTCTCTTTCATTTCTGATAATCAAAAGTAGATCTTTCACATACATAGCACAGCCTTTCCTGTTATATTTTCATTCCATGTTTTACTTCAAGGACATAAATTTTCAGACTTAAGACCTGTATTTTTTTTTAAAAGACTATTGCAAATGGTACTCAAAGAAATATATTGAAGGCCAATATCTACATCAGATGAACTTGTGTCCCTTTATATTAGTGCAGAAGGCTGTTCTCATGTATTATGTAAATTTCATTTCTGGTTTCCAGAACAAGGTCCAATAATGTGGTTATGAAAATACATGGAGTTTTTCAATGACACCACTGAGCAATTTGTGAAAAAGTAGAATTAGAAGAGATTCACTGTCTTGGATCTCAATAATAAATGTAACAGCATTCTAGAGAATACAGTTGATGGAAGGAAGCATTGGCTTGCTGTTTCCATAAAATTGATGTGTCAGTGAGCACTTGCAAATTGTAGTATAATAGTCTCTCCCTTTGACATTTAATATTACACAGTGATTCTGGGTGTGTTCCCACACCTAATCTTTTCATCAGAAAAGTCCTGGTCATATCATTCTTAATGCTCAGTTGTAAGTTGTCAATAGACTGATTATTTTCTGATTCTCTTTTGCTTTATTTTTCATAAGGGCATAAGCACCAATGTTTCCAGCTTTGTATTGTATCATGTGGAATATACTAGTAAGATTTTCTGAAGAGGATTGAATTGGTGCTGTGCGTAAGCATCAATTTTGAAGCATAAAGAATTGCCCACATAATCACTTTATTCTTCTTTTCTTTTGGAGGTATAAGGCTCCCTCCACCCTATTTTGTTTTGTTTTGTTTGTTTGTTTGGGTTTTTTTTTTCTCTCTCTCTCTGAGGCTACATATTACTTAGGGAGAGATTCTGAAGAGTTGTAGAGATGGACAGATTTTTATTTGTTTCTTTTTTTTCCTAATCAGACTATACCACATTTAGTACCAAAATAGGTGCAATTCTAAAAATCAGCCCATATAATTTTACATGTATCATGATCACAATCATGAAAAATTATAGAGAATAAAAGAAGTGTGGCTGTGTGAAACTCTGCTCTTTTTCTCTTCTGTCAATGCTTCTGTGTTGTCCTCTATTTCTCTTTTTGCAATAACATATTGTTTAAGGGTATGAGTGTTCTTCTGCATGATTTTATGCACACTGCATGATGGATTATGCCCCTGCATCCTTGAGCTTGGTACCAAAACCTTTTTGGTGCCACTTTTAATCCTAACACTTGGGAGGCAGAGGCAGGTGGATTTCAGTGGGTTTGAGGCCAGCCACATCTACAAAGTGAGTTCCAGGACAGACTCCAAAGCTGCACAGAGAAACCCTGTCTCAACCTTCACCCCCCCCTCCAAGAAAAAAAGTATTTGAGTGTATGTGTTGTTTGCAATGTTGGATGTACACACGGATGTTCCACTCCTTACTGTTTAAAGCAGAAACTCAGATTCTGAATTCTGCATTCCATGTTCTATACCTTTGTTTTAGAAAGGGTGCAGTACTGCATCTAGGACTCAGGATCTCAACTGAACATGTTAGAATACAGTATGGTGTGGCCCAGGTGCAGATAGGACCGATGCAGTGTCTGTCATTGAGCAAGGTTGACAGTTGTAGAATTTGGAAGTACAGTTCAGTTTTGCTCATCATAACTTGAACATCTTTTATTGACCCAGGGATTCTATTTGATATTAATATATACTTTGTAAAGGCAAGTTCCTGGATGCAGACCTCATAATTGTGTTATGTTCCCCAAAAGTTTGCTGACTGTGAGACTTGTCATTTTTTTTTATAGTGACAGAAAATACTATATAAACAATGACTACTTTGAGAACCATCTATTATTATAACTATCAGTTTTACAGTTTTATTTTATTTATGTGGGTATTTTTTGCATGAACATGTGGATGTGTGCTACATATGCCTCCTCTGTAGAGTTCAGAAATGAACATGGGATCCCATGGAATTGGGGTTAAATTCTATTGTGTAGTGCCACAAGGGTGCTGGGAACCAAATTACATTTTAAATGACTATAAGAGTCATTACAGAATCCAAACAGCAGAGCTCATTTTCAAATGTAGTAATTGTGGCAAATCTCTTTTCTGCTGCTCAGATCTTAGGAAACTTCAGAAAATTCATGAAAGCAGGAGACCTTAGTAATGGAAGAATGGAAGCCAGGCAGTGGTGGCCCATGTCTTTAATACAAAAACTCAGGAGGTGAACTCTGTGAGTTTGAGGCCAGCCTGGTCTACAGAGTGAAATCCAGGATAGCCAAAACTACACAGGGGAACCCTGTTTTGAGAAACAAAAACAAACAAAAAGAATGCACGCATTGCCAGTCTATACCTTGTCTATGAAAGAATAGCAGTGAATAACATCTCACACAGTTCTGTAGACCTATTGAAAAACTTAGTCTTTGAACAAATGCCATTCCTCATCTGTGTCACAGAAGTGTCTCTAGTTCTTTAACCTCTTTTACCTAGGAATGCATTTTGTCCAGCAGCACATGGTATATAACTTTTCCATTGCAGAATCTGGTAACATTCAGGGATGTGGCTGTGGACCTCTCACAGGAGGAGTGGGAATGTCTAGACTGTGCTCAGAGGGCTTTGTACATGGATGTGATGTTGGAGAATTACAACAATCTAGTCTTTGTAGGTAAGAATGCCCTTCTCTAGAATTCCTGATTTGTCTTCTTTATTTACCTCTTTTGTATATATGGAGTCTATCTAGACACTCCCAGAAAATAACAGAAATTCTGGTTATTAAGTCTTTCACTGTGCCTACTTCACATTATTCCCTAGAGGTGTGAGCAATGCTATATTCTGTGTAATCTCCCCAATGTTCCTATCTACTTTTTAAAGAAACATCAAAATCAAAAAAAAATTAAATATTCAGAGCACGGAAATATAGTGCATTACACATAATAATTGGAATATTTTGATTTTACACTGATTAAACTATTCACCTGTTTCTGATTTTTCAAGTTTAGGAGGTTTTAAATAAAAAAGAGCTATTGGTAGAGAGCATTTTGTTGGTTGGTTGGTTTATTTTCTTAGTTTTTGAGATATATTCTCTTTATATAAGCCTGAGACTGTATGATTTTAATCCTAGCAGTAGTGATGCTGAAGCAAGAGAATATGTTAAGTTCCATTACAACTTGGGTTACATAATGAGTTCTTAGCTGACCAAACCTACCCAGTGTGGCTGTGTCTCAAACCATTTACAAGAAGATAGATGAACTTTGTTCATGTGATTCTCCAGGTAGCTCCTCTAATTATTGCATGATCATCTGTTTGGGATATCTTTTGCAAGGTACAAAGTATAGGTAGAAATGAGAAGGCTACTTTCGGTCCTTGTGGTTTGATAAAAGATCAGAGTTCGGGTTCTTCTGAGCATCCTTTAGTGATGTAAATCAGAAAAGACCTGGGATGAGAGTTCTAACCCCAAGAATTGCTGGTTTATATTTCTTAGAAAACTTAGGCAAATCAGTTATTAAATCTCTTACTCATGCATTAATCCTTGTTTTCTCTCATTGTGCTAATTTTCCAGGGAATCGTTGCATATGTTATAATTATGAGAAAGTCTTGGATCAAAGCTCAACGCATAGTGTCCAGCAGCATGCATTTACCCAAGTGAAGCCTTATAAATGTAATGCGCCTTGTAAAATAACTCATGAATGCTCCCAATATACATATAATACTAGAGATAGTCCAGAAGTCTGCAACGAGTACGTATTTGATAACCACAGAGATGCTTCTGTTGAATCATTAAACAGACATAAAAATAGAAACATTGGAGAAGACTCTTGCAAAGGTAAGGGCTGTATAAACTGTTTAAATATGTGCTCCATAATTAGTCGGAATCAAAGAGTCTACACAGTAAGGAAAAAACCCCAAAATACAGAGCATGATAAATCTTTTGACTCTAAACATGAATTCACGCTGAAAAGACCCAATAATGGGAAAAAACCTCACCAAAGCTGGAAATGTGGGAAAAGCTTCAAGACAGACTCAAGTCTTAGGAGACATCAGAGAGTTCATACCAGACAGAAACACTTTAAATGTACAAAATGTAGTAAATCTTTTCTGCGTTTATCACAAGTCAAAGTACATTGCAAGTTCCATTGTGGAGAAAAACCCTACAAATGTACGGAGTGTCCTAAGTGGTTTTATCATACGTCAGAATTTAAAAGGCATTGCAAAGTGCATTCTGGAGAGAATATTTACCAATATAGTGAAAATGACAAATCTCTTATCACAAAGGACCACCTTAATACTCACGAGAGACTTCATACAGTAGAGAAACCTTATAAATGTAATGAATGCAACAAATCCTTTACACAGAGAAGCAGTCTTAGAACTCATGCGAGGATTCATATAGGAGAGAAACCTTACAAATGTAGTGAATGTGAGAAATGCTTTACCCAAAGAGGCCATCTTACAAATCACCAGAGAGTTCATACAGGAGAGAAACCTTACAAATGTAGTGAATGTGACAAATCCTTTACCAAGAAAGACCATCTTAGAATTCACTACAGAATTCATACAGGAGAGAAACCATATAAATGTAATGAATGTGACAAATCCTTTACTCAGAAAAGCAGTCTCATAACTCATCAGAGACTTCATATAGGAGAGAAACCTTACAAATGTAGTGAATGTGACACATGTTTTACCCAGACAGGCCATCTTAGAATTCATCAGAGAATTCATACAGGAGTGAAACCTTACAAATGTAGTGAATGTGACAGATCCTTTACTACAAAAGACCATCTTAGAACTCATGAGAGACTTCATACAGGAGAGAAACCTTATACATGTAGTGAATGTTACAAATCCTTTATCAGTTGCTCAAATCTTAGAAAACATCAGAAAATTCATAAGGAGAGAAACCCTACAAATGTACTGAAGGTGAAAAATCCTTTATCGGCTCCTCATCTCTTAGAAGACATTAGAGTATTCATACAGGAGAGAAAAATTACAAATATAGTAAGTGCAAGAAATCTTTGCTCACAAAGTCACCCTGAGAACACATCAAAGAGTTTGTGTAGGAGAGAACCTTTACAATGTAATATATGAAAAAAAAACCTTTTCTGTGTCTCAGGTCTACAAAAACCTCTGAAAATTCATACATGGGAGAAACGTTTCCATAGGAAATATTGTGACATATACTTCATTCATACTTTGCCTTAGCAATACTTCAGGCTTCATGCTACAGAAAAATTGTGAACATGAGAAAGTTGTAAAAGTTTTTAAGTAATGGTCAAATCTTAGGATACATTAAGAGTGTATACTGAAAGAGATTCTGAAAATGTAACAATGTAGGACAATTTTCATTAATAATTTATCCTTGTGCAATTCCAAATACTTTATAATGAAGACAAAATGCAGAAATCTGAAGGTTGAGCTGTTATATATCAGTTTCCTGGAGACCGAGTTGGTCTGTCTTGGATGAGAGCTAGACTAAGGCTAGAAATGTACACCTCAAAATAACTCCAGGGAACCCCAGAAACTAACAGGATTCAGTGTGCTTAATTCAAATGAAGAAACTCAGACAGATCATATTACTTGAAAAGCATTTGGCAAAATGATCCACCAAAATAGGATGCTCTTTAACTTGTAGATGTGCCCACTGGCATGCAGTGTGCTCCACATGTCCTGTATTATCCCACTTACTGATTTGGAGCTCTATGATTACAACTTGTCCTTGAGTCCCCTCTGCTCCAGTAAGCCACTACTTTACCATATTTCTCTATGTAACCCTAAAATAAAAAATCATTGGTTCTACAAGTTTGGCTTGGTTGTCTTTTCAGTTTCTTGTTGGGGTGAGTACATAGACATATATGTTGCATCTCCCCAGGAAAAGTGTCTTGTTAAATATGTGCTGAAGAAACGGTCTCTCAAAACTTTCTGTATAACAAACAGAAAATAGATATCAGAGAGAAAGTATTTCAGTCACTGAAGTAGGTAAGCCTGGGTCAGTGAGAGACATCATCTGAACTGGGCTGTGTCCCTATATGGCTCTGAATTCCACGTTTCAACCAAGCTCCAATGACCCTCAGAACAAGGCTACCCATGGCCTAATAAGAGGCACCACTGTGGTGATCTGTCCTGCTGTACCTTACAATTGCATTCCATATGACCCAGAAAATAAATTGAATTTTATTTTGTGTTAAGTCATTTAAACAATCCTAATTTTGTAGACTTCCATTAAAATTCATCATGAAACATAATAAGTCATTACAAAGGACCTATTTTCAGCTTAATGTCATGGGTCAGTCTATTTGTAAAATAATGAACATATGTGAAATAGACACAATGTCCATGCTCATGTTACCTTAGACATCTCCCCAAATATGCTGAAATATTATTCTGAAGTACTGAGAAATACTGAAAAATATTTAGCCCAATTCCAAAACATTATATTGATACTATGAGCAAACCATACTGATAAATAATTTTTTCAGAGATTTTAGTACAAGAAGAAAGTTATATTCAGCTCAGGAGAAAGTGTGGTTTGGGAACATTTTGGTGTTCTCAGCATTGGAATTTGTTGACTCATGAGTTTATGGTTAGTACAATCTTAGGTAAATTCTGGCTGTGGTTTCTAATAGTCATAATTTGTATCAGTTGCTGCTGCATCTGGCCCATTGAACCTGAAACAGGAGACAGTGGAAAACTAGATTTCAGGATTGTCCCCTAAGAATATGCAGATTGCAATTAGATGCATAGACTTTGGGAATTCCAATTCAGGGGTTCAATGATGAGGCCCCTTTGATTGAAAACCTTGAGATTATCCTAATGCACAGATTACTCGTTATTGTAGCAAATTCAGATTTGTAAAATTGTGTGCAATTAAAAGACATCTCACCTTTTACCCGTCATAGTATTTTCTTCATTTAGTGACCTTCCATACACACTGATCTTGTCAATGGTGGAAAGCATGTGGCAAATATGTATACATGTCCAAGTTAGCCTGAGACCTGGATCTGTGTGGAAATTAGCACGGACATGATGGCAAATATAAATGCCAGCGGGGCAGGCACAATTTCCTTATCAGAGGAGATATGGAAAATAAAACAAGGGCTCTGTTGGACTGGAAAATTCAGCAGCATTTGTGCAAATTCCTGGTAAAAACCATATTACAGGAGCCCGATTGGTATTTCAGATGGATGTCTGGGGGCTAAATTTTCAGGAACCAAACAGGTAATAAGATATTATGAAGCTATTCTAACTGCTTAGCTATATAGTTATATTGAAAATGACTAATTACCCCCATGAAGGCATTTGTCAACTTTCCATCCTCCAGCTCAGAATCTTTTGCCGCCTGATTTTTTTCCCCATGTTTTGAATGTGTTATGTGATACTGTTATTATAGGCTGTGCAGTTAGCAGTTACTTGATGTCTATATTGGACTAGTTAAGAGTCTCTGAAATAGTTTTGCACATTGTGACAAAGTTTCTCTGACCTTGAATGAAAGCAGCTCTCTTCTCAGTGAAGAGAACCATGTAAAGACAGTTTGAATATTAGACTTTAAACAAAATGCCAGGCATATTTCCCTCCTAGGGCCTAGGACTTTATCCAGGTTTCAAATGGCATGCCTGTGTTTCCTTATGTGGAGCCAGCAAGCTGCAAATCCAACCAGAAAGCCTGTTAGACACAAAATCGTCTTGGCACTGTTATAGCAGTATACAGACCTTGCCGGGAAGATTTGTATTGTAGTATGCAGTATCCGCATCTGATATAGCCATTGATGATTCTTGTGTTTCAGCAACCTGCAGACTCTTCCATAAAGCAGAAACCCTGTAGCACTGTCCATCTTGTTTCGGTCACTTTTCTGAGGGTCCTGCATATCCAGCTTATACAGCATAAAATTAAACAGTCCAGACAGAGCAGTGTCTTGCCTGAAATGGCTATAGCCTTGCCATATTGGCACTAAACTCCATAACTAGTTTCCTCGATGTCTATCTTCCTTTGTGACACAGGTGGTGTTGCCAGGAGCAATTGTGCCTCATTGTCAAGAAAACCCTAAACCATTTTAAATGCCTTATTCTGTAGGTCTTTGAAAGGTTTGAAGAATGCCTATCCATTTGAAATATATCTCTGTATATCTAGCAAACCTAACTAACTTAACTATAAGTTTTGACTATCATAGGTAACTATCCTAAATTATACATTACATTTTTAAATGGGCTATATAAACACAATTCTTAAACAATAGGAGAAATTTGTAACAATAAATGAAAAACCATTCCAAAACAAAGCATTCATTTCTATACCATAATCCCCTTTTTCCTTTAAAAAGAGATTGGTTATGATCATTAACCATTTATAACTGACCCCATTTAAATGAAAACAAACATTTATAGACAGTATTTGGGAATTTGGGTGTAGTTCTTTCCAAACTGCTTCCTGCTGGTTGGGGACGCTGTAATACTGTGGGAATCCTAAGAAGCCTAAGAAATTCTGGCTGTAGTATGCAAGGCTGCTTTGTACCAGCTGTTTTAATGTTGGATCAATGGGACACTGTTTCAGTGAGTCTTGCTTGATCACACCATGTTAGCATGGAAGGAATCTACAGCTTTTCATTTTCTGTGGAAATAAAAATAGAAATTCTTTTCCCCAGTATCCTGTCCTTAGACTTACATTTTGAAGTCAAAGCATTTTTTAAAATATATAAATTGGATTAATTCAGCAGCATCGGTAACCAAGTGTGTTTTAGCAGTTTTTGTTCCTTCCTTAGCAAGTGAGCAATTCAAAGACAACACAAGAGCATACAGTATCCAGACTCTCTGTGTATTTCCCATCATATGTGGCTTTTTTTATTACTCTATTTCTTTTACTTCTGTTTCTCCATTTTATTTATTTGTTTATTTGTTTATTTATTTATTTAGGGACAGGTTTTCTCTGTGTAACTTTGGCTGCCCTTGAACTTACTGTGTACACAAGGCTGGCCTTGAAATCACAGAGATCTGCTTGCCTCTGCCTCCTGACTGTTGGAATTGCAGGCATGTGCCATCACATACAACTACTCATTATTTCTTCCTTTCTTTTCTTTCTTTCCTAAACCACTTTATCCTGTTTCTTTTTCTCTCCCAAGCCAATGTGTATTTTTAAAAAATCTTTAAACTTTTGGAAGTTTTTCTTTATCTGAATCTGTCTTTACTGTAAATCTTTCTTTTTCCGACCATGACTCTTTTATCTGCTAAACAACAACATTGATAAAAATGAAAGCCACAGCTGTTTTAGCTGCTGTCTATCCAAGATGGTGGGGGTACATTTACTGCCAGCACTGAGAGCTATGCTCACCACCTTGGTCTATGCTCCCATCAAGCAGCTGGCTTGGAAATGTGGTCACTGCCGCTGCCAGCAGTAGTACACACCATCAAAATGCCCAAGATAACTGCATGTTCGTTGCTTCTGTGAAATTGCTTGCTTGCTTTACTTGCAACTACCAATCAGGATGTAGTTTTGCTTTTAAGAGCTTCTTGTAAAATGCATTCCAGACTGACATGTGAGAAATGTTTCTCTTGAGAGAGCCATAGGCTAGCTTAACACAGACTCTCAATTTGGACTTTGCTCAAGCTGAGTGGTCTCTGGGTATCTACCACACAATATTATTATTATTATTAATTATTATTTTTAAAGTCTAACAACTAAAAAGTAAAGAATCAGGAGAAGCTCCACTTTGAAAGAAACAACATGGGTAAATTACCCATAGCTGCATTTAGAGAGTGGTCATCCTTACAAGAGTCAGCTGAGAAACTGATCACATACCTGGTACAGCTTTAGGCTATTTCCCAAACCTCAGAGTTCCTCTGAATTAGGAAGATTCAGGACTCAGAGACTGTTTCCCATCATGGGCTGCTGACTTGCCCATACACCTCAGAACTCCAGTTGCTTCTGGGAGCTTTCATGTCCCCAGAAAACCCCATTTAATGTCCCCCTCCAGCTCCATCGTAGCACCAAGGGACTCCTTTAGAACCCCTAGGAAATTGCAGGTTTTTGGCTCTGGGTAGGTCCTAGGCTTGTTTCCCTGATATCACTCTGGGGCCCATGAATTCCCCCTTGTTCAGGTCACCTGTCTGTGGGTTTCTACAGCCTGGTCTTTATCCCTTTGGTCATCACTTCTCCCTCTCTGCAACTGGATTCCAAGAGTTCGGCTCAGTGTTTAGCTGTGGGTGTCTGCTCCTGTTTCCATCAGCTACTGGAAGAAAGCTCTAGGATGGCAGATAAGGTAGTTATCAATCTCATTATCAGAGAAGGGCATATAAGATAGCATCTCCACTATTGCTCAGATTATTAGTTTGTGTCATCCTTGTAGGTGTCTGCACTTTTCCCTAGTGCCAAATTTCTCCAGACCTATAATGGCTCTCTCTATTATGGATTTCTTTTCTTGCTCTCCTCTATTCCACCCCTGACTCAATCTTCCTGCTCCCTCATGTTCTCCTCTTTCCTTCTCTTCTTCCCTTTCCTCCTAACTCCCTCTCCACTCACTGCCCCCCCACACCCAATATTGTCAGGAGACCTTGTGTCTTTCTACTTCTGTGTGGAACATGTATGTCTCTCTTAGCTTCCTCCTTGTTTCCTAGCTTCTCTGGTTGTGTGGATCGTAGGCTGGTGATCCTTTGCTCTATGTCTAAAATCCACGTATGAGTGAGTACATACCATGTTTCTCTTTTTGTGACTGGGTTACCTCACTCAGGATGGTTTCTTTAAGTTCCATCAATTTGCCTGTGAATTTCAAGGTTCCATTGGCTTTTTT